CGTGCTGATTAGGAGGAACGCGAGGCAGAATGATTCCATACTGGCAAAATTTTTCACGGTTTATCTTGAAATGGCCTTTTCGAGTTGAATTGGAAGGATGGTCTGAACATGAGTGCTTGGAATATCTTTTCGTAATCAGAATTCAAGTAGACAGACTCTCTTCAGTTTTGCGATGCTCACCATCGAAACCAAGTTCCTATCGAAAAAAAATAATGTTTCTTATCAGTGAATACGAGGAAGTAATTGGTCGTTCGAGAGGGAAGGGGTTTTAGAAGGAGTGGTGCGTAACGAACGATGAGTACCTACAGGAGATATGCAGCGTAGAATCGAGGAGCCTGCTATAGCTGTACTCGATTCGTGGGCAAATCCCAATAAGATCACTGGCATGGGATCCTCATAATAATTATCTGACCATTTCTGGTATTACTAGTTTTGTTTTGTCGTTTTAGGTACCGTTCTGCTTGAATATTCGTCAGAAGCTGCAAGAGCAACGCAGATCGCAGAATCGTCGCGCTGATATGATGATGCGCCGACGTATGGATATGCTTTCCAGCGGATATGGCGGGACCAATTCTACTGCTCCAGCACAGTCGACTGGTTAGTTATTGTGGAGTCGCTGTGCTTAAAAAGTGTAGAATAATTTGCGGTCAACCGGTGGACGTCGTATGTCAGTTTTCCCGTCGAGGACTGGGCTCTCCCTCACGTGAGCCGCATTGGGGAGTGGGAGGGCGTCCGAGCGAGGTGAGTGGAAGGAGGGTGCAAGGGAAGAATAAATATATGTAGAAGGCGGATTTGATGTCTATGAAAACTTACAGTCAGCTGACGTGCCACTAAACTGGTAGCGCGTCGTAAAGGCCGTAACTATAAAACGAAGGCTTGCATCTGAGTATAGATGAGCCTGAGTATTTTGCGGATTTTGTAATTCTTTTCCGATTTCCTTCAAATTTACATTTTTTTTTTCGATGAATGGCTATTCAGTAAAAAAAAGCGGCTTCATGCATATCATTGGCAGCGCACACCAGGCGTGCTCGCGCGATCATGCGTTCCGATAGTAAGACCGTTCAGAATCCCAGTAGCTAGAATTTGCGATAATCACTGTTTAGGCGGGACTGCCTTGTTATGTTTCCTAGTGAATTCTTACAAAAAAAAGTTCATGCGTCGACCAGCATCCAAGTTTTCCCGCTCTTATTCGCATTTGATGATATCTCCGTAACTAAATATTTTCATCTTAGTAACAACTTTGGCTTTCCACGGTCACTTCTGATAGATTTGGTTTTCTTAAAGCGGCAAGAGTTTGTACGTAATTATTGTTAGGCTATTTAAAAATGTGTTAAGCGTAAGGAAATGAGTTACGCGGATTTGCTTTCAGCGCCAGCGAGTGGTGGTCTACCACTTTCCCAACCACTGGCAAGCCATCCTGGTCCTGGACAACTGCAAAGTTACCAGAGTGCAGCACCAGCTATGCCGCCGCATATGCAACACATGCAAATTGGACAACCACAGAATGTATTGGCATCGAATCAGCAGCAACAGCAACAACAGATGGTGCAAATGCAACAGCAGCAGCTCCAGCCTCACCAATTCCAATCTCATGGAAAAGGTTTCTTTTTCCAGAAAACCGTCGTATACCAGCAGCTATTAGGAACAAAGCGAAAACTCGTAAACCGAGAAGACCAGGAAACGATCCAGAATATAGCAGCAGTTGGTATGGTCAAATATTCGGGTTAGGGCACCAGCTAACCGCTGAGCACCACCACCGTTTCTTTCTTTTTTTACATTTTTCCA